TTGATTAAAGAGAACATCATCAGTAAAAAAGTGTTCAAATGCAATTTTTGAAGTTTCAAATATTTTATTTGCATTCAAAAACTATTTTGCTATGATTGGACACATTTATGTTTTAATTGAAGTGACTTTTGTTTTAATTGATTTTGTTTTTTGTTCAAGCAACTTTTTTTGTTTGAATGATAAAGACACAGATGTCCTACACATGATATGGTCCAATCAAAAACAATGTTACTTCAACTAAAAAAGTTGCTTTAAACATAAAAAAGACTTGACTTTTATCAAAGAAAACATTTTAAAAGAAAAGCAGCGTTCAAATGGATTCTTTGTAGTCTCAACTATATTTCTGCGTTCAAATACTTTTTTCCTGTATTGAAAACATTTTTTTCATTCACTAGAAGGTGTTTTTAATTGGAAATATATTGGAAATATATTTTTAAGCAATAATCTCAAAACCCAAAGGTTAACAGAAAATTATTCCCACCATGTAGGAGAAACAAACAGAGCCAACCTTAATACAAAACCAAGTTAGACAAACTTTTAATATCCTCATTCTGAAACATTCAGAGTTCATTTGAACAGGTTTCATGTCTCCACAGATTTAAAAGCCATCCTGTCGTATTGAAGCCATCCTGGTAACCTAAGCCGTCTTTCTCACGCCGTCTAATATAAAACCTGCAACTGTACAATTCCTGGACGGGTGGGAAAACTTTCCACCACTTCTTTTAACAGACTAAGACTACAACAAGTGTAACATTGAAGTTTCACAGTTATTGGTCATCATCATTGACAGAGGTTTCATTTTGCACGTCAGGAAGCTCCAGTTTCTCACATTCCGTCAGCCTTATGGTTAGATGCTGAGCCATCTCATTGGGATCCGTGTAGAAGGCCACAGGAACGTTCTGTTCAGGAGAAACACATTAAGTTCATGTTATCATAATGAAAACTCTCATGATGACATTAAGAAGCTGCATGATTTGCATCCCGCTATTTTAAGAATTGATACATTCATTAGCTAACAACTAAAAACATATTCATCTTTTTTATATATACCATGTTTATTAGGTATTTTGAACATCTATAAAAAGACTGAACGAAAAGAAAAAAAAAAGAAACAACATATCCAGCCCTGATACAGAAAGCAAAACCGGAGGCATGTGCAGAAATTACAGCGAACATCTGAGAAAAGTAACCAATTTATACATAAACTTCAACATATTCATCATTCGGATTCTGGTCTTTTAATTTTGAAAGCGTAGAATTTCACATTCAGAGAGTATCTCAATCTTTCTAATACAACTTCAGAAAGTAAGTTTTTCTATCTAGATTATTATTTATATTTTATCTTTAAAGATAATTTTTAGGCTCAAGTCGCCTTTTTATTTTTGAAGATAAGCAGACAGGAAATGGGAGGGGGGGGGCTAAAGGGCTTATTCTAGTAACTGAATATTCTGTTGATTATTATTATTAATCAGGTGAAGCAATTCTTTGGATCATTCTTTTAAATGCTTATTTTGAGTAATAAAAACACATAAAAAAGAAATATGCGGAAAAAAAACTGACTGATTTCTTCTTCTGCTAAATTATATTCATTTTACTGGTCATCCAGGTCATAGTCATACCAAAAACAATCGACTGGACTTTGTTTCCAAGTTTGAAGACGTTTCTCTTCCATCCAGGAAGTTTTTTTCAATTCAAAATGTCAGAAATAACTTTGAGCAAGCCAACAAAGCCTGGTTTTTGTTTAGAAAACAAGCAAATAGAAACGGACGAGCTCGTTATATAACCATATCACATAAGCATAGACTGCACCAGGAGCTGGGTAGCATGTTGGGTTAGGTATGGCCGGAGGTCAGCTGGTCATCAATCATGACACACAAGTTACTTGCCTCCTTTTATGGAGTCAGAGACACGGATCCAGTCTGGATGTGAATATTGTGGCATCTGTTTTGGTTCGGCTGGGAAACAAGTAGTTCAGTTTTTTAAAGATTAAGTTGGAGGTGAGGAGGAAAATAATTTAGTTACAGCACATCCACCGCTTTGTTTCCAACAGCCACCTGCCAGGCGCCGCGCTGAAACGTGTCACAGGCTATGATGCAAATCTTTACTGATAGCAATGCTTACATTTATTTATTATACACATTTTTACAGCAATGTGAATCAAAGAATGTTTGTTTGTCCTCCTACACACTATAATAAAAGAAAACAAAAATCCATCGTTTTCCATTTTGTTTGCTTTGAAAAAGCTTCAGTGAGCCACAGGGGGCGCTGAAGAGCCGCATGCACGTTGCCGGTGTAGGTACCAGATTGACTCGGGCTGCCAGATTGACTCGGGGGCCTGCGCCTTTTGATGACGTCACATTACATAATTGTTTTAACGTTTGCACAATTGCGCAAAACATTTTGATTGGTCTGGACAGCTTACTAAAGTAATTATAGCGGGGTGTAGGTTTTATTCGAAAGCGGGATTGCGGTTTGGAAACGGACAATTTTAGGAAGAAATTCTCCATGGTCCCTGCGCCTTCCGATGACGTCACCGAATTCGCCATGGGCCTTGCGCCTCCCGATGACATCACATTATAGCAACGCCACTCAAACTACATTGAGCCCGCGGTCTGCATTTGTAACGACAATAAATTCAGGAGAATGAAGCTAAAGGGATACAAAAAATAAACTTGTAATATTACAAAAACAAAAATACTACGAATTCAAAGTATATTCAGAGATTAAAGTCCCTCTGATACTGTTTAAGTGACTGAGAAACTGCAGATTTGCCACATTTAAGATGGCGGACGCTCATGACGTCATCAAAAGGCGCAGGCCCCCGAGTCAATCTGGCAGCCCGAGTCAATCTGGTACCTACACCGGCCCCAGACGTGGACAGACTGTTTGGTAAACTGACGACAATATTTTATGAAAAAAACTCTTAACCTAAAATAAGATTTTGTTAAATATTATCCTATTATCGTATACAAAATTTACAAAACAAATTAGAATTTTGAGAGAGGGTTCATGTTCTGAGAGGCTACGGTGAGTTCAGTGATCCAGAGTTCCAATAACTTGGAAAAGTTTCTGCCTGTTTGTATGTGGAGTGAAACTCTGGAAAACTTTAAGTTCACAACATAAACAATTACAAAAATGTTCAGATTTAAAATCCTCGTCAAACAGTTGATCTGGTAACATTACGTTCAGGGAAGGTCTTCAGTGTATATTAGTGTCTGCTAATGTGTGTTTGTAGCTCTTCTGTCCAATGCTGGTCTTTGTCCGTTACCATTGTTGGTATGTCTCTCTGCTACTGTTGATATTGTGTAAACTATTACTATCTTTTAGAATTTATCATTACTGGTATACTAGAAAACAAAAAAATGTATAATTAATTAACTGCTCAGGTAACACAATTGTGATTTTGCTTATTTGTTCTGAGTACCAAAAACATTAGTATTATTATTATTTATTTATGTATTTTTTAACTGCTTTTGCTCCTACAATTTTATGTTCTAAGTTGCTGTTAAGGGAAAAAAAACTGAAAAATAAGTAGGTGGAAATATACATACATAATACTTTAAATAATATATATATAATTAAACTATTATTTTTGTTTACAAAAAGTGTAAACAAAAAGTTTAAATTCTGAAATTTACACGTGTGTATACAAAATGACTACATAAATCTGTCTAAGTCATATGCTTACTATGAATGAGCATCAGGGTGGGATTTAATACGTTTTCTTCCCTAACCCTTCAGGCCTGTTTTTTTTATTTTTTTATTTTAAGAAAATGACTCTTAAGTTTAAATTGATGAACTAGCATTCACTTCTATGTTTCAAAACATGTAATTTCCTGAAATTAGTGAATAAATAAATAAATAACCCCAACAAGCTGTTTTAAATGTCACTGTATCTAAAGCAGAAAAAAATAGCATGATAGAGGCATCATGATATTTTCAGGCAAGAAATAAGAAGATACAAAATAACTTCTAGCATAATTTTACAGTATATTTAATATTGATTTGATTTAAAAAAAATAAAATTTCTGTATTGACATGGTTCACAAAGACTAATAACTTAGTTTCTCCTGGAACAGAGACGGCTTTCAGCTCCCCTTGAAGGAGCAGTTATTAAACCGTTTTAAAGGAAAAGACCGCTCATATTCAGAATTCAAACTTTTGAAAGTTCTTTAAATCTGAAATGATTCCATTATGTTCAATAAATAACAGCTGTTTTTAATTCAGAGTAATTTTCATCTGAATGTGCTTTACTGGAGGCATCCATGTTTGTCAAAGAACACTACTGCCACCTACTGGTTTGTGACGTCACGGTGCGGTATCGGCTGTTGATCAAGTCCCAGTGCTGTATCTGGTGTTTGTCACAACGCGCTATTATCCAAGTCATCTTGAAAACATTCTTCTTCCAAATGTTGGCTACATATTACGGGTTTTTTCTCTGGCCAGAAGTTCGATGGCAAATCCTCCTCTTCAAGTTGGCGATCCAACGACCAACCCGTCCGTGGAGGATCAGGAATCAGAAAGGTGGAATAACTCTTTTTTTTCACTTTTACCCGATGTATTCCAGCATCCAGCTGCCATGCACGTGGGCATTGTCAGTTTCACTATAGCTCTGGTGAATTTCAATGGTGAAGTCCTCTGGAAATCTTCAATAATTGTTGTTGATTGCAGATGTGTCTAGTAGTTCCCATTGATTTAGCTTGTAAAGCGGGGAGAATGGCGCTAGGCTTACCGCGCTTATGTCACTATATTTGGGCAAAAATATCCGCTTCCAGACTCGCTGGTCACGATGAAAATTATTGTTTTATTTGTTTTACTGATTAACACTAAATTCATTAAATCACCTTGGACGTAATATTTTTAGGTATAAATAATGACCCATTGATTATTCCTTGATAACCGGACTTTTCCTTTAAAGGGTCTATTTAACCAAGATAAGCTCTCAGACATAAGAGCAGTTTGCAGAGCTGTGACCATGTTCTGTGTCTGACGTCACCCACCTTAAGTTCTGCTATTGTGTTTTCTCTTGTGCTGAACTCCCGCAGCATGTAATCCCTTCCATCCTGAAAATAACATACAGAAAATCATTTTTCAATGCATCTTACAATTTAACTTTTCAATGGACAAGAACATTCAAAATATTGAATTCACTCTGAATAGCATGAAGTTAACACAGCCTCTATAGGAGCACAGAGTCCTATTTGGGATGGAGGAGTCCTGCATGGGGAGCTAGCATGCGCGCACAAGATGTGGGCTGAAACATGCGGATGCTGAGTTCTACGCAAATGTTTGGATCAACAGACGGCCCAGTTCCGTACACCAACTCTGACTCATCTGTACGGATATAAAGATTTTGATGATTGTGATAGATTGTGATCAGCCCCCACCCCACTTCCCCCACCAACTTCCATTACAAAGTTACACCCTTGCTGTTCAAACATTCAGTCTCCTGTATTCTCTGCGTATTGCTAAGTATAGAAAAGGCAATTTTTCCTGAACCAACATGTTTACACTGTGTGAAACGGTCTCAAATAATATAGCTCCTATATAATAACCACTTCCTCAGAAACAGCTTCAGCATCAAAGGTGATTATCCAAATGGCCTAAAAACCACTTCTGACGACTAAATGATTCTCTGAAATGATCCATAAATCAAAGATATCAGAGCCAGCGATGAGCTCAATGCTGCATGAATGTTAATATGATCAATCGTAACATTAGACTCTGAAGGTTTTTCTAATATTCACAGCAGTGTCACTAAAGGGAAAATTCAGCTGAGTTTTTGTTACTGCCATCAAGAGGAATGAAGGTATACTGCAGTTTTTCCTCAGGTTCATACGGATCTTTACAATCCAAAGAGTCCAGCTAATAAAGTAATTTAGAACTACAATTAGGTGCAAACACACATATATATATATTTAACAGAAATGACTTTGACTTAGATTTATTTTGTCGTTTTGTATACACAAGGGTAAACAAAAAGAAATTTCATTAAGAACAACTCTCTAGACATTTTCATTTTTTTAAGTGCGGCCTTTAAAACAGTAAAAAATAAATAAAAAACAGTAATATAAAGATATGACTGTATATTTACAGTTCTGACCTTTCAGTTTTTATTTTTATATCCACTGCTCTTTGCTTACTTTTTTGGAAAATTGTAAAAAAAAAAAAAAGATTAAATATCTTCTAATGATGAATTCATGAACTGAAAAAACTTAACTTCAGCCCAGCTGAAAAATATAAAACTAATTTAGAAAAATTTTCACCTTTTTTACAAAGAGAAATGAAGGTAAATAAAACTTGTGAAAAGACGATAAATATCATATTGACTGGAAAATGTATAATTTAGGAAAATTATGGTTGAAAAAAAAAAAACAAAAAAAAAATTTCACACTTATAAAAGATTAAATAATATATTTCTTCTATAATTAGAGTCAATTTGGGGGAAATTGGTTGCAATTGTTCAGTGTAGTAAAATGCTGAAAGATGCGTTTGTTAATAAAGCAATAGTTAAAAGAAATGATCTCTTCTTCCTCATCCATCAGCAGGGCCGGTGTTCTGTCAGATCAGCATACCCCATCAGACCAGCATACCCATAGTCCATAACTGTTCATCCTTTAGTTTTGTACGAAAAATAGACTTTAAACTATCTCAACGGGTGTCTATCCCGTTAATCACATACAAAAAACAAGTTAATTACCGTAATTTTTGGACTAAAAGCTGTGACTTTTTCCCCATTTTTCGACCTTGCGGCTCATATAACAATGCAGCTAACTGTTAGCTTTTACAGCTAACAGCCACTAGGGTAATACGGTACCTAAATCTATGGATTTTACCATCCACCATGTTGACGTCACATTTACTTCAACACACACGTAGCCGTGCGCGCAGGAATGCGGCCGTTCTGCGAGCGCATGACAGTTTGTGTGACACCCTCATTATGGAAAACAAACGTTGAAATGCATATGAAGCAACTTTTAAGTTAAAGGCAGTCAATTTGGCAGTAAACGGAGGAAATAAAACCGCTGCATGTAACCTTGGAATCAACGAGTCAATGCTGAGACGTTGGAGACGCCAGCAGGAAGAATTGTCTCAATTCAATTGTGTTGAAATGTTAATAAATAGCAGCTTCCCCAAACAGTTGCCTCTTTCCCGACAATCCTCTCTGTGCACGAAACATATGGTAATTAAACATAAAAAACCTGCGGCTTGTAGTCCGGTGCGGCTTGTATATGGACAAATCATGCAATTTAGGTTCTGCGGCTTATATTCAGGTGCAGCTTATAGTCCGAAAATTACGGTATTTACTTTTTGGTGTTTTATTGAAGCGTATGACGATCTGACCTTTAATTGTTTTTTTTTGTACATAACTAGGGATACGCATCTGTTGAGGTAGTTTAAAGTTTATTTTTCATCCAAAACTAAAGGGATAGACGCAAATCTGACCTCTTGCACATGCATACTACTGACTATAGTATGCTGGTCTGACGGGGTATGCTGGTCTGACGGAAAGGCTGCAGGGATACTGGCTTCTGCTGGATGACTAACTATGAAACTATGACTGGTCTTTGTTAAGCTTTAGTTCACCTTCTTCCTGTGAAGTGAATCAAAACTGTTAAATAACTTTCATCTATAATATCCTATAGAAAATAATCAATTTTTAAAGTCAGTGCTTTATCCTGGTTTATACTGGTCAACTTACCTCATAATAAAGTCGGGTATCGTTTATTCTAATCATGACTCCGTCCACACGTAGGAAGAAACGCTGCAATAGGAAGAAACTGGATGGCATCACCCTCTGCAGCATCAAAAAAGGAAGAGTTTAGACATTTATCAAACTTTATTAACCATAATTTAACAAAAACATCTAGCTTTCCAATCAGGCAAACCTTTCTCACTGAAAAAAAGGCCAAAGCCACATTGATCAACAACAAAAACTATTAGGCCTTTTCCTAAACATTGGCTACAAATAGGTCACATGGTTGTCGGGTTTCTACCAGTGATAAAAGGAAAATGGCACCATAGCTATACTTTATGTTGCAAATTTTACTGTTCAAAGAAAATTATCCCATTTATATGCTTCTTAGGGCTGAAACAATTAATTGGATTAATCGATTATTGAATTAGTCACCAACTAATTCAGTAATCGATTAATTATTACCTGGAATATAGAGACTCTTAACACATGCAGCACAGTTAGAGCAGGAATTATATCAAAATTGTAAAAAAAAATGATATAAATATTTTGCATTTAAGATTTAAAAAAAATAATTCTCTATCGATCTGCTCTATCCAGAACTCCTGAAGTGGAAAGGTTTTAGTTTCACCTGGTTCCATTTAAAAAAAATCTCCTTTGAGGAACTTTTGGCAAAACATTTATTAATTGATAAATCAAAAAAATAACTGACATATAAACTGATTTGCAAAATAATCTTTAGTTGCAGCTCTAATGCATTTTTAATATCTGGGTAAACACACATTGCAAAATTTTTGCTTAATTACAGACAAATCGCTTGATGGTCCCAGACATCCCTTAAATTAAAAATGATTAACTATTGAAAGTCAGACATTTCATTTCAGCCATGCTACAACTGAATAAAAAATTATAAAAAAGGCCAGGACAAAATGATGGCACCCTTAACTTATTCCAAAACAAAAAAGAAAATTAAAATCAATCGACTGGACTTTGTTTCCAAGTTTGAAGACGTTTCTCTTCCATCCAGGAAGCTTTTTTAATTCAAAATGTCAGAAATAGCGTTGAGTTCCAGGTTTTATCCAGCAGCCCAACAAAGCTTGTTTTAGTTTAGAAAACATGCAAATAGAAACAGACGAACGGGTCCACCCCTTTGGAATGGGGGTCGTTTGGCCTCTTTGTTAGCCTGCAATGTCCCATACCTGTCTAAGCTTTAGACAGGTATGGGGGGGGAAAGCTTCCTGGATGGGAAGCGAAATGTCTTCAAACTTGGAAACAAAGTCCTGTGGATTGTTTTTTAACGTGTTTGGAATGACTATACTGCAATTAACGATTATCGGGTTACTAAATTAGTTGATGTTTATTTCAATAGTTTATTATTCCTATAAAATCTTTCAGCCCTAATATACAGATCTACACACAGAGAGGTAAAAACACTATATTTTTAGCAGTGTGTTACTCTCTCACACACTTACAATTTTGACACTTATTGTTGAGACGCCGTGGTCATGAAGTTCATCTTCAAAGAGCAAAACCTCTTCATAGAACATGATGTGTTCCCGTGCTTTCAGCTTCTCTATGTCGATGCGCTCCTCTGTGCTAGCAGCCTTCACAAAGACAGGAAAAGGAAACAGCATCAGGTAGAACTAAAGGTAAAGATCGCCGGAGAGAGGAGGCAGAGGAAAAGCCGAGGCATCCAGGGAGGAAGGAGATGAAACCCACCTTCATCTGGACATCTTCTCCTAGCAGGGTTCCTCTGTAGTCTGTGGTAAATGTCCAGTCAAAAGGCCTCAGCACTTCTTTGGAGTGTTCAGAATCGGCTCTGAAATGACATTGGGCTGTTGCTTAGCAACCTTTTGTCAGTATCTCTACCCTTTACTTCTTGCTTTCACTGTAAATGTTTGGTTAGAAAAAAAACTGCATCAACATTTTTAATCAATGCTAAGTCAAAAACCAGAACTCTACCACTCTGCTTATTTTTGCTTTCAATATTCCCAACAATAATAGTGAACGAGGCCTTAAACACCAGAAAATGTAAAACAGAAGAAAAGTTGAAGTAAAGCTGTTACTAAAAGCAGCTTGTTTGGATTTTTTTATCAGCCTTTACATCTCCTGATCAGTAAAGATGCTCTGATTAAAAATATTGTTGATGAATTATAAATTGTGAGCTTATTTGAAAATAAATAGAAAAGCTCTGTCTCTTTGTGTCCTTTGTGCCGGAGCTCTATTGCAGAAACAAAACATTTCTTTATCAGTTGAGGACCTGGTTTTCAGACAGTTCAGAGTAAGTTACGCACGCAGCCTTCAGCATCACTGTAATCCTCAGTCCAGTCCAAGAGTACTTGCCAAGGCTTAAAGCCGGGCATACACCGTACGGAGTGTTGATGATGTCATCAGCGCGCCGGACTGGAGTAATGACAGGCAGCCCGGGCCACAGGCGGCTACGCTCTACTCCTTCCATTCATTCGGCTAGCTAATCTGAATCGGTCAATTCTATTTCGACCTTCCAGGCATGTGAGTAAAACTAGCAGCAGTTCAGCGGACAGGATGAATGAACGGTAGCCAGCGCACGGATGACGTCATACACACTCTGCTTTGCTTTAAAAATATATATAAATATAAAAAATATAACGGTGGATGTGTGGGGGACAGTGATTGGCCTACATGTTCTGAATGCTGGCGTACCATAAATGATAAATGATGAACAGTTTAGTTTGTGCCTTCAAGTCGTTGCCCACAGGAAGACGTTACTTGGATATAAGGGAATATCTTGAGAACGGCTCCAAATGACACAAAACTCATATGGGTGAGTAGAACATGATGGAATAACGTAAAATCAAGGGTCCAATGTAAAAAAAATGGCGTTCCCCTTTAAGGAGCTAATCTGGTTCAGTGGTTCTCCAGGGATCAACAAGGGATCATCCACAGATGTTTTTAGAACTGATTGGTGACCTTTAGTTTAGTTATTTATTGTAAGCAGGGTTGATATATATATGGGTTTTATATTTTATATTCTTAAACAATCATACAAGTTTTGTATCACAAATGAAGCACTCTCATTATCTAAGTTTCTGTGTCCTTGAGAGCATGATATCATTTGTTTTTGTACTCAAGAGCTCTCGGTGCCGTGCTCTGACCATGCTGACCATGATGTAATGTGTTGTTGGTTTCAGCTATCCACGAGCCCTGGGTGGGTTCATATTTTGGTTTCTGTAATCATGGGCTCCAGGCGTGAGAGGGAGCAATCACTTTTCCTGATTGGGTGAAAGATTTTCCTTTGAAGTTTGACATAAATGACGGGTGGTGGTTTCACACTGGCAGAGTCTGCTAGGGTTGCGTACGAACGCCTAGCTGCCCGGTTTGCTGCCCTGCCGGGGTCGACCGGCTCTCCGATCCTTTGTGTCACGGTAAGGGGGACAATATAATATGCATTGGAACGATATAATTTGTTTTCAGCACCGTGCCTTGACTGATGTGCTTGCTTTGCTGGGTTCTGTGGCGGAATAAAACGACACATTTTACTCTAGCAGACACAGTGAGTGTATCTGTGTGTCATCTGTATTATCGACTCATCCCAATCCTGCCTAAATTTTATAATACAGGGGTTATAAGTTGTTTTGCCGTTTTATGGGTGTGATTTATGAGCATAGACTTCCAGCCTTAGGTCTACGTTTCTACCACTCACTTTGTATATATGAAAGTTCCTCATTGTAAAAAATAAGAGGCAGTAAAAGGAAAACTGAATGAGACAAGATCTGTGTGATCAGAGAATGACGGAGGAAGAGATGACCGCCTGTTTAATCTTCATTTATTAGCTTGTTTTTACTTGTAGCTCCACATGTTGTGGTGATTAGCCTTTTTACTATTTAACTTTTTTTTTTTTTACTATTTAAAGACAGGCACATTCCTGGATTTTACAATTGATTTTTGTTGTTTAAGTACTAATAAATATGTAAAAAATAGATAAAAGCATCACTTTGCTGTTTCCTAATTTACTTTTGATGATATGTATTTGTTTTTATCTACGAGCTGGAAATGTCCCCAGATTGGATTTCATAAATCTGGTCACCGTAATTTCTCTGCTTGACTGAATATATTTTATGATATCTGAAATAAATTTCTTCATAATCAAAATAATACAAATGATGAGCAGTTAAAATAGAAATACGGAATCTGAAATCCATTTCTAGACATCCAGGAGTAATTATTCTAGATGTGAAGAATGCCACCTTGTTTGAAATGGTCATTTTGACTAGGACACTCTGAGTTTACTGAACAAATCCTGCTCCAGACCAGGTCAGCTCTGGGGAGGATGTTACTATGGCAACAGAGACAGAGGTTGAGGAGACTGTCTTGGTGAAACGGACCCCAGGACACCTATAGCTAACGGAAACAGGTGGAGAAAACTTTGTATTTTTCTCCGGAGGTAAAAGTGAGAAGGAGAATTGGAGAAATGAGCGACCCTAAATGACCCGTTATCATACCTGCTCTCCTGCCATTCTTGAGCACAGGCTACCTTCACAGTGTCTTCCATATTGTTGACTCGCTTAAGAGCATCAATGGCATTGAATTCAATGCCGTAGCCGTCCATATGCTGGATCCGCAGGACGTTATCGCCAAACAACATCTCAGGAAGTGAAGGCATGTTCAGTTCATCTGATAACCTGGAAAAGGACAAGAATGAAAAGAGGTCAAGTTTCTCACCCATCATTAAAACCTGTTTGCTTTGTAAGGTAAGGCATTTTCAGGGAAGGCAAGATAAATATGATAAATATGCAGCCGACCACCAAGCTGGGAGAGAAAAAGTGTGATGGCAAAACTTTTGGATAAATTAGAGGAGAGCAAAGATAGAAATAAGAAGTGGATTGCATCTCCAAACTGCACTACTGCTGCTAGTTTAGCTGCAAGCATAGAAAACACAGAACGAACAGGTAGCGCTCTAAAGCACAGATGGGAACTTTCTTCCATTTATTCCCCAAATACCCAAAATAAAAATAACATCTGATTTCTTTATCATGTTTCTATAATTTCATGCATCCAACAGAAACCTAATACATGCAAACCGCGCTGTGAAGCGGCGAGCGGTGAATTCCACGCGGTGAGAGCGTTCACTGCTCCTCCCTCACCTCATGCTGCGTTTAAACTTAAAGCACCAAATATCGAAAAGCCCTTTTTTTTTTTTGCCATATGAGGCTTATAGAAGACTTAAATAAGACTCCTGGTCTACGCCCTGACCTTCTTCCAAGTTGCTCTCCATTGTTTACTTTCCTGACTTCTGTCACACTGACATCATCACCAGACACACAGCGGCGGGCGGGACAGAGACCATGCAGCTGCCAGCGATGGGTTAGACCAGCTTTATTTTCCAATGGGAGGGGAGCCAAATGCCGATTGTTAGCGGGTCGACACACATTTGAAAAACAACCTGTTATTTTCAGTGGGAAAGAGGCTTAATGCTGCGATCAGAGCACACGCAGCAGAGGCAGCAATAACGTACGTTCTGCCTCATTTTCAATGCTTGTACAAGTTTAGTTCTGACCCACGGCTGAAGAGTCTTTGCTGCTCTAGCTGCGCGGTCGAAAAGTGGTTCTGATGCGCGTTGGGCGGAGCTACCCGATCCTTTCTTTGCCTGCAACAATGGCGGCTATATTTGCTGTGATCAGTGGGTAAAAAGTGTTTTTAATATGTTTTTAAGTGAGAAAGTCCACCTGAAAACTTTGTCCTTGCAGTCAGTTCATCCAGTTTACCATCCTGCCTTCAAATATTATTTCTCTTTTGCTGCACCTTAAAGCACATCAACCATTGACTTTGCATGTAAACTAGCTGCTGCTGCTGCCTCTGCTGCTTGCGGTTTGAACGTAGCATAAGATTATTATTCACGCTGGCGGTAATGACACTTAAAATTAGTGTTGCTTCGGTGTGTAAGTTTGCCAAAACAATGTGGGACTCGGTAATTTTCTCTGGTCCCCTCCCTGATCTGTCCAGTGATGACATGTTCAGCCGCATGTCGTCATTCAACCGCTGGTTGTCTAGGTGGTGTCCTGAAAACAACGTGGGCTACATTAATAATTGGCAATCCTTTTGGGGAAAGCCTGGTCTGATTCGGAGAGACGGCATCCATCCCACTTTGGATGGTGCAGCTCTTCTTTCTAGGAATCTGGCCACATTTATTAGTCCTCCAAAACCCTGACCACCCAGGGTGCAGACCAGGAAGCAGAGTTGTAGTTAAACACACATCTCTGCAGCTTCTCTACTGCTCCCCCCTCCTCTTTACTCCATCAGGACAGTGTCTTGCCCACGACCAAAATCTAATATATTTGGAAAAATTCCCAAAGGAGTAAATCATGATAATCTAATTAACATGAAAATAACTCCAATAGGAGATTCTTCCAAAAGTCTGCTAGTTAATGATTTGATCTGTGATAATCACATTGATTTATGTTGCCTTCAAAGACTTGAATATGGGCGTGCAGGTGGTGCAGTTGTTAGCGCGCACCACCCATGTAAGGAGGCCTTGGTCCTCGACGCGGCCGACCCCGGTTGGACTCCAGCCTGTGGTCCTTTGCCGCATGTCTCTCCCCTCTCATTCCCTCTTTCCTGTCAACCTGCTGTCAGAAAACGAGCCACTAGTGCCGTGTAAAAAAAAAAAAGACTTAAATATTTTGTAGGAATTAAGGGAAGAGGACTCGGCTTCAGTTTGTTTGTGTTAATAAAATAAATCCCATAATGCTTTGTGAGGAGAGGTCTTGCAAAGCATTCTGGGATATATCTGCTCATCTAGATAATCTTGGATTATATCGGCCTGCATCTAATATCGCTGATATTGTCACAAGGATAGAAACTCTGCTTCTGTTTACATTTCTAGAACCCATAGGTTAGTATTATATCGGTGAGTTGTTATTGTTCCGTGTTTTAATAATATCACTTCATCAGGCTTTTTCCAACATTCGACTTTACAAAATAAGTAATAAAAGCAAAATGCTTTGGGTACAAATATCTTACCGGCTCAATATCGGATTGTCAAAGCTTTAATATCCCAAATTAAAACGTTTTATTGGGACAGCCCTAGTATGTGGTTCTATCTTCAATGGATCCATAATTAATCCCAATATCTTTAAATACCACATTAAATATGAAAGTAAAGACCTAAAAAAAAACTTTAGATTTTAGGGAAACATACTGACCGTTCAACGTCTTTAGACTTCATGATGTGGTTTTTGGCTGCGGTCACCTTCCATGATCCAAATGTGAAATCCTGCTTGCTGCTCCTGAAGCCGTGCAACATCATTGCTTAAAGGGACACCAACTGCAACACAGATAACCAGCAAAGGTTTGACTTTTTCTTAATGGTTTAGCAATTTTAAAACACAAAGACAGAATTAAGTCTTACAATTTTCCTGTAATAAGAAGACACTAAGATATAAAAACCGCACCCTTTTTTCTTTACTATGCTAGACTAAAGTAAATTGTTAAATCAGAGGGTGATTTTTCTGGTGACCTTTGCTGTATGAGATTCTGTAAAAGCTACCATGTTTCACTTATACACACAAATACATATATATATATTAAATAACCTTTTTTTAAATCAATTTTAAATCAAAGTATAACTCATTTTCTGTGTAAAAACTGACTGATTTCATCATTTACAATAAAAAAAGAATGGGAAAAAAAAAAAAAGAGAGAACAAAAAGAAAAAGGAGGCAGATGAGACAGAGGAGCAACAGTTATTCCACAGAAACTCAAACAGCTTTTCTGGATCAACATAGTTATTTTTAAACAGACCTGCATCTCTAAAGTTTGACATTATTGTTAAGTTGAATACTTTTTAGGGTCGGGTTAAGAGTGACGAGGCCATATTGGCTCACATGTGCAAATACAGACAGTATCTTTACACACAGGGGGGATTTACCATTATGCAATACTATGCATTTGCCTAGGACCCCAAGTTCCTGGGGCCCCCATAAAACTCTGTTTACATGTACAGTTAATACAACTACTTCTTATTTGTGCACATTATGTTTCTGATAATAATTTTATTTCAAAAAGCTCCTAGCGCCAAATCTAGTGACTTTTTTCTGCTACTGGAGACTTTGGCGCCAACATCTAAAAGCAGCGAACTCTGCTCTCCAGAGCAAGTAGATTGGTAACCCCGCCTCCTGCTCTCCTCTATCTTGTCTGCTGTCATGATTCATGCAGCTATTATTTCATCCAAATGAAAAATGGAGAACAGATAAGCAGATCATGGCTTGTCTACAGTGAAAAGAAGGACTGGGTTATTTACTTTGGCCTTTTTGGAAACACAGGAAGGAGCAATCAGCTAAGTGAGCTTAGTGCTTGGAAAAAATCTTTCATTCCTTTAGAGACAGCATGAAAAGTCAGCTGAGTACAAAACATAGAGAGGAAAACAAGAAGAAAAGGGACAAGAAGAGAGGGACACAACCTAGAACAGATAATGGATGTCTATTCTATTAACATTTCTCTATCTGGAGAATGGCTCTGTTCTATGTTTTGTCTTCTCCAGTCAGAGGGCCCCCTGCCTGTCTTTGCCTAGGGCCCCACATTTCCTAAATCAGCTCCTGGTTACACAGACAATAATGTGTTTTTTTAATCTTGCAATAAAGATGGAACTGATGTCACTTTCCTGGTTTGTAAACAATAAATAATAGTAGCCTTTAATATAAAAGGTCATCTGTTGAATTATGGGAATATTATGGACGTCGTTAAAGGAAAACATTTGATTTAAAAAAAAAGGTTTTAAGGAATAAAATGAACAACAGATCATATAAATATTTAACCAGAATAAGAACAGGCGGCTTTAAAAGAAAAAACAAACAGTCCGGTTTGAACTAACCTTACATCCAAACAGAATAAATCTAGTTTAACGCTGTAATTAAAATGTGCCTGAATGAAGCTCGCGGGTAAACAGCTTATTAACCGAGCAGGAGAAAAAGCATCAGGAAACAGTTCCGGTTTAAAACACCACCACAACCGCCAGTCAGCATCACACTGTCACTTCATTACATCAAATGAATAAATAAAATAAAAAGCCTAAATGAGGAAATTACCAAATGTCTTTGATAACGAGACTTTGATCTTCCAAGCTCCGGCTGTTTTTATTGTCTTCTTCTTCTTCTATTCGGTTCTCTTCTTCTTCTTCTTGAAACTAATTGAGGGTTTGGCAAATACCTTAGGTGAGCATTACCGCCACCAACTGGTAAGGAGTGTGGACCGCATGCATAAAAAAAAAAGAAAAGAAAAGAAAAAAAAAAACAATATCCATCCCTCTCTGGAACACTTTTCAAGGGTCTGACTAAGCTGAATAATCTCTTTTATGGACTCTCCCCTCGGTTGCCCCCTAATGTTTGTATGTATTCTCGTGTATATGATTATATATACATTTGATGTGTGTGTGTGTGCAATATATGTCATGTAAACTGTAGTGATTTAGGTTTCAATCTGTGCATTTGGGTTCTGTTTGTTTCTTTGTTTATCTGTATGTTCTAAACTTTTAAAAACTTAAAAAAAAAAAAGAATGTCTCTGTTGTTAAAGCACTCTTCTGTGTAGGTTGACTAATCCTTGTCTTCCCTGTGAAAAATAAAATAAATCAATTACATCCTCTGAAAAAAAAAACAAAAAAAACAACAAAAAAAACAATAACTTATTATCCAACTTTCTGTTTCAAAAACTCAAATATCGGCTGATATCCTCTGCTTCCCGAATCATTTTGCAGTAAAACAACAATATCAAATATTATTTTTATATGACAAAGTTTACCAAATAACTTTTTTCTCTGAATCAAATATTTCCTACAACTCTTAAATAACATGTTCCACTGTCTCATCTTCCCCACAGAAACATTTCCCTGCCTGTTTCCCTATCAGAAATAATCATCTCTTCAATCCAGTTGTCTGATTCTAAGTGGTGAAATAATTATCTCTACTGTTTCTTTCTGTTCTCATTTGTCCAATTCTCATTTGGATCTTATAAAACCACCTTCTTCATCCCATAACTTTTGGCACCTCTCTTTTGTTTTTTGTTTAATTATACGCTTTATTTCTGTTATACTAAAACTAACATTAATACCTATCCTTAACTTACTGGTTCTCTCCTTAGGCATCCTGTCTGCCATTTCATTCTCCTTAATCTCATTATGTGCCATAGAAAATGTACTACTAGCTCCATCATATTTATTCTGTTAAGTGTTTGTTATAAATCTAAATTTAGTTTAAGTTAAGATCCATTAATCATTATTAAAATACTATATTTACCAGAAAGTAAAAGGTTCTCATGTGTAAGGATGTACAATACTCCCACTTCTACAAAATTTCTTTCTTTGATTATTTTTTATGGATATTTCATATCGGTATCAATTATATTTTTGAAATAAATTGTTGAACCTAATGAAGAGGACCCTGTTTATTTGTGTTTGCCATCAAGGGGATTGGAGAGGGGATTCATGTTGCCTTACAGAAACTTGGCTGCAGAAAGAGGATTATGTGAGCATAAATGAGGCAACTCTTTCTACTTATTTAAGGAGGTCTTTGAAGTTCTCTGCCCACCGACATACGACGTCCTGAGTCGAGGTCAGCAGCACACCAACCCCCACTATAAATATTGTTGGTGCTGCAGTGCTTCTCCCTCCTGAGATGCTGGATTGTGGACTAGTATTGCTTCAATACCGTACGGAGGTCTTTCTCCATGGCCTCTCCGAACTCTTCCCATGCCCAAGTTCTTGCCTCTGTGACCAGCTGAGCCACCTGCTGCTTTGACTGCTGCTACATATCAGCTGCTTCTGGAATCCAACAGGTCAATAAAGCCAGATAGGACTCCTTCTCAGCTTGACAGCTTCCCTGTCCACCAACGTGTTCGAGGGTTGCCGCAACGACATGCACTAACAACCTTGCTGAGGGCTAATTAATTAAACTACCTATACTTACCTATATGAACATGATGGCATTCACCTAAAATTACATAAAAAAACATATTTTTTTTCCTTTTAGATATTGTCATTTAGAAATCTCTTCAAATGCTCTATATGATTAATATGATGAATGCTCTATTAATGATTAAAAATGAAGGACAACAGAATAAAATAACATTTCAAACTTAGCCCACTGATTAGTTGTTCTTTTTACACAAGATGCTGAGGCCACCTCATCTGGTTCTGGATGGACTCTTGGTGACCCCTGATCTAGAGACTATTATTAACAGGAGATTAAATGCGGCTCCAGACTAGCTTTAGATGTGGTGATGTCATCAGTATGCTTTTGTTCCAATTAACCCAGATTTATTCTGCATGCTCCCGTTCTCCCATAGTTCGTACGTATTTGGAGAGAACATGAGTCCATGATTGCGTTATTTGAATTGAGAAACGGCATTAGCCTTGTTGTTAGCCACTATTGTTGTTATTTCTTCAGCTTGTCGTTATTTTCAACGGGCTGTCTTTTTAATTTTGGGTTGGTTCTTCTATATTTTTAGTGAGTCAGGATTCCAACAGAAATGTTGGAAAATCTGTTTTCTGAATTTCCAGCAGTTTCCATGTTTTGATTTTCTGCGTCTGCTAGTTTGTCTGATCTAAAAGAACTGAAATGAATGAAGGTATCTGACTCTGGATTAGGGTTGCCAACCGTCCCTTGGAAAATGGAATCGTTCCATATTTAGAAATAGAAGTACCTGTCCCGTATTTAGTGGAAAAGGTACTTTTTCCCGTATTACTATGAGAGTAAAAAATAATCAGTAAAAAGCTGATGGAAAATGAAGAACAAGGGCACATTACAAAATACACAGTAAATTTATTCCCGGGCCCTGTCCTGCGTTGTGACCAATGAGCTGACATCATACATGTAACGATCCAGAATCCCCTCATCCCATTGGTTGAGTGTTCTCACGGAGAAGATAGTGGGAGACAACAGAGCAGTATGGGGGACGAACTGAGTAATTTAAATGCTAACGCTGCTTAAAGGGCAGATTAGACTTCTGGAACGGCACACATCAAATGTCGCTTGGGTCTGGTCGCAAACCACTTTTGCTGGTATGTTTCTGCACCGTCGGTCTGGAATATCTAGGGACGCACAGCAGTTCAAAAGTGCAAGGGGCAGCTTATTCGAGAACTCGCAAGTCCATCCGCCGATGGGATTGTGGTCTCTTACGAGACCATGGCATTTTAAAATAATTTGTCTGAGGCATTGTACAAGTGGTTGTACTTTCAAAACTCCTCGATTAACCTTTTGTTGTAGTTGTCCATCGTAGTTGCTCCTCGGTTTTTAAAAATGGGGGGCCTTGGCACCGAATCGAGAAGGACGACCACACAGACAGCTGAAAAGGCCTACTAAGGACTAATCACAGCTGCTTTTTGTCTGCACACTTCCGTTTGAGGTCTGCGCGGGTTTTGCGACCACCCGACGCGTAGTCAGGATTTTTTCAGAGACAAATCTGACAGTTGCAGAGGCTTTGCGTCAGAAGCATAAATTGGCCTTTAACCCCACACTGCTCCCTGGGCGCCGCACAATGGCAGCCCACCGCTCCCCAAGGGGATGGGTTAAAGCAGAGTTACTCAGCTTTACTCTGCAGCACTCAAGGACAAACAACTCCTTACTGCTGTAAGAGCTCAGAGGAAATACATGTGAAAAAAGTAGGCATTCACCACAATATGTGGCATTAAGCTAATGATATTTTTTTTCCTGTTTTACAACTGTAGCCTACAGTCATTGCATTAAATGCACACATATGTTTACAAGTTTGCTGTTGCACCAAAAATATGAACTATTTATTTATTTTTTTATATTTATTTCTACAGTTTGAAGTTAAGCAGGACAGGCTTAAGGCACTTATTTTATTCAGCAAAGTTTTTATTTTGTATTCAAGTGAATTGCTGGATAATTTGTTTTCCATGTGTTAATGTCACTCACAAATATGCATCTAATTCAATGCAGATTTGAGTCAAATAATAAAACTAAAAAAACAATTTCACACACAAAGGGGGGCTAAAAAAAAAAATAAAAAATCACCATGCCAGGAGGGGTGAAGGTAGTCAGGTCAGCTGGCACGCACATGAGATGTCCCTTTTTTGTTTCACGGAGTTCACAACCCTACTTTGGATTAAGAGTGGAGTCTCTGCCATTCACTGTGTTTTTTATCGTTCTCCTTTATCACTTAAAAATCCAGACAGCTTGGTAAAAAAAAAAGGTCTTTATTACATCCAAATTAGACAGTCCTGAAAGCTAAGTGGGAGTGATCACATTTTCCAGAGTGCTGCAGCTCTCTGCAAACAGTGTGTCCATGGAGGTGCCAGATATGCCCAGCAGATGGAGCCAGAGAGCGCTCAACAGGGCTGACTCATTTTCACAAAGACATTTATCATCTGTATTCCCAATGTAAATATTATCTGCAGTATTGATTCAGATGATGATCCCAGTTTTTTTATTTATTTATTTTTTTTTAGCATTTTAACACTCTAGAATAAGACAAACCTTTTTTTTTTATTTGGAGACTAAAGGCATAAAAAGAAATAAAACCGTTTATATTTGTAAGATGTTAAAGATGAACCTGGCATTGCTTTCCTTTCACTGATGCAATGTTGAATCTTAAATGAAACTGAATCATCACAGTATCATTCTTCAGTCTGCTCTCATTGACTTTCCGTGACTTTTTCAAGTGTACATCTAGATAAGTTTTGCCTTTCAGATTCATTAACAGACAAACCCCTGGTGGCTTACCTACGGACAGCTCTGTCTTTGTCATCGCTGTCTCCTATATTCCCCCTTGGCTGATGGGGTGATGGCTGCCACCTCTTCTTCTCTGTGGAGCATTAAAACAACTCCAACTTACCACAGAAGCTGGCTTTCTGCACTATTAGGATTGTAATACACCTAGTGGTGCAACCTGGACACATCTTCAGTGACTCTCCCGAGATCACTGGGTGTTTCGGGTCTTAGTCATACACCCTCACTCGGGCGACCCAGCCGGGGGTGATCAGTTCCCCGACTTGTGTCCAGGTAGCGCACTACGCCACGCCTCCCCCCTCCTCAACCAGAGCCACCGTGAAGCCTTTTCAGCTGCTTCCAAGATGTTCTTGGTTGCTCTTCGTCTCTGCAGACCGCAAATCCCTAGGAGTCCAAGGACACGGTGTAGAGATCTGCCTGCGAAGCCCCTGCAGCCCACT